GAAGGGGGTTATTGGATAACTATAATAGTGCTTAGGCCCGATTAACAAGGTGATATTTTATTTTTTTATGTCATTTTTTCCTTTTTTAGCTAAAAAAAGTGAAGAACATGTGTGACTATGATGAAACACAATTTAGTACAAGTCTTTGTCTTTTTATTTATTGTGGCTTTGGTTCTAAAAATTATAAGGTGGTGTATAGTTTTGTTTTTCTGAATGAATAATTAGTTGCAACTTCTTATCTTTTTTTGATTGAGTTCCTAACATAGAAGACGCGTGAGTACCATGTTACAGAGAATATGCTTTTCAAAAGAGAGAGTGAGAGTGGTACTTTTCTTTCTTTATTTTATGTTTTAATAATACATTTATTTTAAATAAATAAAAGGTTTTTTTTTTGTTGTAATGCTGCAAATTATTATTTTGTATAGGAAAAGAGAATGATGAATGCATGGTGAGATAGAGAGAGAAAGAGAAAGCGAATGATGTGAGCATTAAGAAAAAATGTGCGACGATATTAAGAAGAGAGGAAAAAGTGTATCACTTATATAAACCAAACAAACCTTCACTCAATCTAAATTTTTTATATTAAAAATTTGATAATTCACAAATTATTTTTTAACAAAAAATATATGTTAAAATTTAAATTTTAAAATAGTAATTTATTCTAATTTTTTAAAGATATCTTGTAAAATTTAATAATTATATGTATAAAGAGTTGATATGAATTTTTGAGTTAATTTTTTTGGTTCAAATATGCTTATAATATATTTACCAAGACTACATTATACAATATTTGGATCAATATAAAAATATTAAAAAATTATTTTTAATCTAAAACATCAGAAAATATTTTATCCAAACATTTTTAAGTTTAAAAATATGATTTTAAGCCTAAAATACTAAAACCTTAACCCGCATAGTTCATTTGTAAATTCATATTTATTCAAACATTTAGATTTGAAATGCATTATTACTTTATAAAATTCTATATAAATTTAATTTTTACTATTTTTAAAATATTCAATACATTATAATCAAAATAAATCTACACACATTTATTTAATTTTTTTCCCGAAGATATCGTTAGAAAAAGTTAAAGCCTTATTAAAGAAAAGGAAAATTTTCCAAAACTTCATCACCCCCATCTCATGCTCACAAAACCATGAACACCATAGCCATACCACTCTGTCACTCACAGTCGCCATAGAACAAAATGCTGGAACGCGTCCTCTCCTTGCGTCGATCGCCTCCTCACTCCGATTCCGACGCCTCCGACGCTGCCGGCGACGAGTCCAAGACGAAGCGGCCACACATCTCCCTCATGGCCACCAACTTCCTCTCTCGTGTGGGACACAGGTGGTGGCCTTTTCTCATCCTCGGCCTCCTTTTACTCATCTTTCTCTGCCTCACTTCCTTGGCCTTTTACCCCAGTCGCTTCGTCTGCATCTCTCCTTTCGATCCCGCCGCCCGGGTCGGGTTTTTCGGGTTCGAAGGTCTTGAATCGGACTTCGGAGTCCTCGGTGTTCCCTGGTGTAAGCCTATATTCTCTTAAATATGCTTCTCTAGATATTGTGCATGTTCAGTTATACATGTATGTATGTACGGGTGCATCATTTGATCTGGGAACTTGTTGATTTGTTTTGGTGTGTGGTATTAGGACTTTCCCACGTCTGTCTTTCTGCTTTTGGTGGCATTTTGTCATAACCATATAGTTGTTTGCGTGGCGAGATTTGATCCGGTAAATATTTGACTGTATTCGGTCTGCGATGCTTCGATTTTGATAAACGCTTATACTTATGCTGCTAAACATTCTGTATATATGAGGATACGTGAATTTTTTGGTGCTTTTTTCTGAGGGTTTGATCTGGGGAATGTTTGATTTGAGTATTTGGGTTGTATGCCTCTCTGATCTAGATGTATATATGCTCAAAGCTATGCGTACACTCCAGTGTACTATTAATGATTTGATTTGGTACATGCTGTTGGTTGCATTGGAGTTTGCTGATGCTGTTTGATAAAAGGCGGTTTGTTTGCTATAAGGTAAAGAAAGTGTCAAAAAACAGAAATGGAGATTGTCTCTAGCTTCCAAACTGGGATTTTGAAGGGAAATAAGTTGACTACTTGTATTAAGCTTCTCAAGTGAATGGTTCTTTTTTCCCCTTGTTACAACCAGTAATAGGCTTTATATAGTACATATATAGTGGATGACAAGCACTGGTGACAGCCTAGAGGAGCAGATAAACAGAATTTTCAATCAATAGATTTAATTGTGTAGTGGTTTCTATAGTAACAATATTTTAATTGAAGTAGGTGGTCTAAAGTTGGAACTGCTGTTTGACATAGATTTCTGAATCAAGGGCATTGAGAAAATGTCAGGGAGTATCAAAATAAAGTTGACAAGAAAGTATATCTGCTTGCTTTCCTGAGTGATGCAGTATTCATGGAAACTTCAGGACTGATTTTCTATTCTTTCTGTATATATCAGTAGTTGAATCATCTTTGTAAACCTTCCAACACTCATGCATGATAACTGATTAATATTTCTATTAGTTAGAAAAAAGCCAATAAATAGTATGTTCTCATTGCATGTCATTAGAAGAATTTGTTATCTGCATTTTGCATATTGAGATTCTCATTTCTTAACATAATATTCTAATTTGATCAATAAGGTCTATGAGAACCATGAGGAGCATTAATTTTTTTCCTTTAGGAAAAAAAAGAAGTAAACGAAAGAAAAAATAAGGGAAAGTTTCTAATGGAGAAAAGTTCTCCAATTAAAAAGGGTGATTTTAGTGAAGGATTCCAGTAAAGCGATATTTTGTGGATATTAGTTGATGTCTTGATGATTTCTGGAGAGCCACCTTTAAATAACTTATTTTAAAGTCGAGATCTCTGGGTTGTCTAGTTCTAAAGGGATCTGTCATCCAAATCTGTCCACTTGTAACCTTTTTCAAGCAATAGGTTTGGTTTTTCTGATTTGTGTGGTCTTCACCCTTTAGTAGCTAGTTGCACCACTGGTATTTAAATCTTTTAAAGTTGACTTACTTTTCTGCAGCTTAAAGAAATGTTACCATTGTTAAATGCAATTATGAATTAACTTTTCTGCGTCTTATATTTTTCCCCTGTTACCTGTACGTGAGGAATCTTTCCTTTTTTAGGTTTACCTTCTCCATTTATTCTGCTTGCGGGGTGTTTAGCATTGATTGTTTGATGCTTAAAATTAGCTTTAAAACATTTTACTTTTTTTTTTCTACAATATAAAAGGCATATTGCATATTAGTTCTTAAACGTGAGTTTAAGAAGGTAGGAAATAAGTATCTTATACCAAACTCTTAATTCTTATTTGTTTATCTTATCTAAGAAATTTAGTTAATTACCCCATTGATATCCTCTATGATAAACAATGTATATAACAATGTAAGTCTAACATATTCATAATGAATATATACATTTTTTTATTAATTTTTTTTTTACAAAAAAAGCTGCTTACTTTTGCAATTAAGGCTTTATTCAAATATATGATGGCTTATTTTTCAAATAAAAAACTTATCTATATTAGCTAAGTCAGAGCATCTTATTGTTTTGTAAGTACATTTCCTTCAGCAATCTCAGACACCCTCTTGTTCTATTATATCGCTTCTTAAGATTTTGGAAATTTCTGGTATTATTTAGGATTCCATGGGTGAGTGTTGTGATTTAGCTATTAAACCTGATTTTCAGTCTGAAAGCATCAAGTTCTTACAGTCTACAACCTTTAAATTTTTATCCTTGGCAAAAGGCAGATCGAAACATGGAAAAACTATTGAATGGACATCTAAGGATTTGATCAAAGGTCTGGAAGAGTTTGTACCCATATATGAAACACGACCAATCAAGAACAACATGTATGGGATGGGTTTTGACCACAGCTTTGGCCTTTGGTTTATCACCCGTTGGCTGAAGCCAGATCTGATGATTGAAAGTGGCGCATTCAAGGGTCACTCAACCTGGGTTCTGAGGCAGGCAAGGCCACACACACCAATTGTGTCTCTTTCACCAAGGCATCCTGAGAAGTACCTAAAAAAGGGGCCTGCTTATGTTGATGAAAACTGCACATACTTCGCTGGGAAAGATTTTGTTGATTTTGGAAGTGTTGACTGGACAAGTGTTATGAAGAAACATGGGATTACAGATCTTAATCGAGTTCTTATCTTCTTCGATGATCATCAAAGTGAACTAAAGAGGTTTTTTGTGGTCTACAATATGAATGATTTTTGCGTTTGTTAGGCATTTCATAACTTTGATTTTATTGTTTACTGTTTTTTCTTATAATGTATTGATGGCAGGCTAAAGCAGGCAGTGAAGGCTGGCTTTCGTCATCTTATTTTTGAGGACAACTATGATACAGGAACTGGAGATCATTATTCGCTGAGGCAGATATGTGATCAGTTTTATATCAGAGGTGTGTGCTCTCTAAAGACTTTCCTCCTTTTTCAGAATATATCTCTTGTTTTAGAAAGCTACTAAGATGTAAAACTTAATGGAGCATAAATAGGGAGAGAGCTAAAGTTATATTATCTAACCTCAAAAATAGATCTGAATGATAGAAGCATTTACTTTTAGTGGGTTGCCAGTTTAGCTGTATATCATGTCCTTTGGATCAGTGAATATTATTTATTTCTTCCGGGTTTTGGTGAAATGAATAGAATGCTAATTAGGATAACAACATTTTTGCGATCTAGTTTGTTCTTTTACCTACATGGACATTTCGTGATGAATTTATTCATATGGCAATGTCCTCAAAAAAAAAAAAGCGACTGGCACAAGATTGCATTTCCAATTGACTGATTGATGTAGGAAAAATGGATAGATCATTTACGATCTCAGTAATTCGGGTAGATTTTGAAGTTTTTAGATTTAAGAATTATGATGAAATAACATAAAATTAACTAGGAGTTGTGCCTACAATCACTTAAACATCTCAACAACAGTGTGTTTTCTTAAACATTATGATTAAGAGTTGATTGTGTCACATAACCAAGGTATTGTAAAAATTCGCATGATAATTTTATTCAACAATGACTGATGGCGAAAGAAAATTACAAGAGCATTTGTAGTGTTAATCCTAAGCTATCCTTTTTTTTGAGATAAAAGTGAGTAGTAATATCAATTAGAGCGCTGAGGGGGCGAACTTATGTACAAAAGATAGTATTTACAGATCAGTAAATATATCTACAATGTGTCCAAGATCGTCAAAAGAGTTAAGGTTGCGACTAAGGATAATGGGGGCTAAAAAATGAAGTCATCTATCCTTAATAGTGGCAAAATTTGTTTCGTTGCCCTAAAAAATCCTACAATTTCTTTCTTTCCATATAATCCAAAGTATTGTTAAAGGAATGACCCTATGCCTTTTTTTTTATTTGAAGTGAGTCCTTCCCAAGCTAACAATTTACCTTTCACAGAACTGGTCATAACCCAAGATACACCAAGCACTTTATATACCACTATCCATAGTTCATAGGATGATGGGTACAAAATAAGAAGATGGCTGCAGGATTCCTTATTCTACTTGCATAATACACACCAGTTAGCCAACATAAAATCTCTTCTCATAAGGTTGTCAAGCGTGAGAATAGAATCCATAGCTGCTTCCCAAGCAAACACCGAAATTCTGGGTGGAACGGAACTATTCCAAATAATTTTGTAAGGAAAAACAGCAGTAGAGTGATTTCTGTCCATCAAGTTTCTGTATAGATATTTGACAGTAAAAGATCCATTTTTGCTTAAATTCCATCTTAATTTATTAGATTCAGTACCCATTTTGACATTTGTAAGGATTTGGGAAAGTTTTTCATATTCTTCAACCTCCCAGTCTTTCAAATTCCTCGTGACAGCCACATTCCAAGATAGAGAAGAGCTGATTCCATAAACATTCTTCGGAAAAATATCTTTGTTTCTTGTGATAGTAAAAATGTGAGGGAATTGGTTTTGGAGACTCATTTGACCTCAACAAGTATCTTGCCAAAACCGAATTAGGATGTCCTAACAGAAAAGATGATACTTAAAGAGAATTTCAACAATAAATAAAATTCTAATGCTGCTAAATGCCTATTCTTACCCATAGTATTACAACATATTGTAGATCAACAATTTCTAATCTATTTAGACGATCGTAGTCAAACCCATTCTACATCATTATGGAGTCTTTCACTTTGCTTAACAATCTTTACATGATCTCAGAACTTGGTACAATAAGTTTTTTCCTATTTTCTTATATCAATTATTGACTCGATTTGAGCCTCCACACATTGTTTATTTTAAATATTAAAATTATTAAGAGCTTGTATGATGCGGGACCCAGGACCAAACTGTGATTAAAAACCCTTCATATACATCAACATTCAGAAAGACTTAAATCTCTAAATAAACTCTCTATAGTTGACCCATACTCAAACTTGTGAATGCAAACTTAGGTAACTAGAAAATAAATTGGAATAAAAAAAACACCACGATTTATCTGATAAGTCGATTTAATTCCTTGTCTAAACAAGATAGTTGAAACAATCTCGCTTGATGAACTCTCATTCTCACAATTAGCACAAGCTAAATTGCAAAGGTAAACTGAAATTTTATTGATATTAACTGAATTGTGTTTTCAACCTAAGGAGTGAGCCCTTTTCATAGGCTTTCACTTGATTAATTCGACTCAAAATCAAAAATTAAAATTCTATCCAAAATTCTAACTTATCCTAATTCAAAAACTTAAAATAATAATCAAAAGAAAACAAAATTAAAGTGGATAGCTCTTCTCCTCTCATGGCCGAATTTGCCATGTGATTTTATCTTGAAAATGTGATGTTTATCTTGAAGTATTTATCTCATTCCATGTAGGATTCTTCAAGGAATAAAATCCACAATAACCATGTGACAAAATAGAGGGAAAAGGAGTATCCCTCTCGGGTTAGAACTTTCCCTCACGGGTGGGAGTCTTTCCTGCGCAGGATCTCTTCCCCGTGACTCCTAATTGCGCTAAGACTTTGTTTTCTTCTTCCTTATCCTCTTGATGCCACAACCTTAAGTCCTAGAAGGACTCTTCAATTTGATCTTGAAAGGACAAGAGTTGCGAATGAGGAAGGATTCCTCAAGCTGCAAGGAAACTCGTGGGATTGGGTTCCTTTCCTTGGCTGCACATGTGAGTTAGGACACCCACATGCGCGACATGCTTGGGCCATGAATTGCCCATGAATTTTGGGCCTTTCCTCTCAACTTCTTGGGTCTCCAAAGTCAGCTTGGCAGTTATCCATTTTTGGGCCAAAAGGTTGAAAGGTTGTTGAAGTTTCTTTGCCCGATTCCTTGTCAATGGGTCTAAGGGCATTTGGATATGTTTTCCTAATTCTCCAAGCCCATGTTAAATGATTTTGGGCTACTTTTGGACTTGAGACCGATTATAAAACAAAAGAGGACCACAATTGGTTTTCTTTTTGGTGCTTGGGCCTCGGGATTCCAAAGTGAGAAAGGAATCTTTTTCCTTGCGGGGTTAGGACTCCCCGCTGGTGCCGGAATTCTCCCCTGTGCTGTCCACATGCACGCGCGTGTGGGGCGTGCGTGCGCTGTTGTCTTGCATGCGCAAAGGTCCTAGCTCCATGCTTCTGTACACGTGAGGGTCTTCTTGCATGCTTATCCCACAGGCATTCTCACGGGAATTCTCGCAGAAAGTATTGTTCTTGTGGGCAAACTCCTCTTGGGTGTCCGGAGAGTGGTTTGTGTGTCCGGAATCACATCATTGTGTGTCTTGAGAAGTAAAGAAAATCAATGGTATAAGAGATTTAGTGATGCAGAACTCAGGATCAACTAATGTGATTAAGAACCCCACATAACATCAGTATTTAAAATCATAAAACTCTTAANATAAGTTAATCAATTTCTACTAAACAAAAAGGTTAACTAAATTTTATAGTTTTATATATCAAACTTAATGATTACATTGTGAATTAAAGATCTATTTATAAAGTAGGGCATGTGCATTACAAGAAAATAAATCTCTAAATTAATAGTAGAAATTACAAAAAAATTAAATATTATCTTAAATGAGAAAATAATAAAAATTAAGAAATCTTTGATTAGAATAGGCTAGATAGGATTTTTCATTTTTAAATGGGAATATAATAATTAATTGTTGAGGAATTAGAGGAAGTAAATATGGTTAATTAAGTCTGGCCATTAATGGAGCAAAAATGCTACCCATATCTTTCCTAAACCATGAGGATTAGTTATTTAAGGAATGAGATTTGATTTCTTCGTATTTTAAGATATCACATGGTTTAGGAAGAAGTCTTCCCTCTTGGCTGATTTTCCCTTTAAAGAAATTATTTTCCCTTTCCTTGCTCACATCATCCCCTCCCTCTTCAAAAATGATTCGTCCTTAAATTGAACACTTATTATGTTGGGGTTTTACCAATTCTGCTTTTTTTTTTTAAAAATGTCATTAGCTGAAATGTTGTATAAGATTATTGCGAAAATCTGCAAGGAATGATTAGTAAAAAAAATAACAGTCTCTCACGCATTTCAGTCCTTGTATTTTACTCAATCTCTTTTCTTTAAGTTGAATGTGAGAATTGAATTTTCTTGAATCAAGTTTTGTTTATGACACTTTAAGAAATCCTACGGAAAGAAATTGGTAAAACAATTTGAAAAGTAACAGTTTAAACACACGAATGAAGATAGTGTGTATTTTATATATGATGTTAAGTAATTAAGCTGCAATTAGTTACTTAGAGATATAATAGAACAAAAACACAATAAAAGAAAAAAAAACAATAAGAATATGATATTTTTTTGTGTAAGAAATGATGGAAGATATATATATATTTTTAAATATGAATAAAAAAATATATGTAAGGATAAAAGATGCAAGATAGTAAGATTCATCTCGAGTTTAAACTCTGATACTAAATGATGCAGAATTCAAGATCAACTAACGTGATCAAGAATCTCACATATAACATTAGTATTCAGAATCATAAAACCTTCAATAAATCCTCCCTACTTGACCTTCATTTAACATGTGAATGTTAACTAAGTTAATTGAAATAGTTTGAATTGATTAAAAACACCATAAGTACAAACTTGATAAGTTAGAAATCAATTTGAAAGAAAATTGATGAAACGCTACAAGAACTTTATCTTGATAAGTTAAATTAATTCCCATTCAATAAGAAGGTTGACGAAACCTAATTAGTTAAAAACTAAAACTTTATAGTTTTATTATTGTCAAACTTGAATGATTACAATTGTGAATTGAAAATATATATATAAAATAGATCATGTGCATTATAAAGAATTAAATCTCCTACATTAATAGTAGAAATTATAAGAAAATTAAATACTGTTTTAAATGATAAAATAATGAAAATTAAGAAAACTTTGACTAGAATAGGGTAGATAGGATCTTCCATTTTTAAATGGGAATATAATAATTAATTGCGAAGGAATTAGGGGAAGTAAATATGATTAATTAAGGTTGACTATTAAAAGAGCAAAGAGACTACCCATATCTTTCCTAAATCATGAGGATTAGTTATTGAAGGAATGAGATTTGATTTCCTCTTCCTTTAAGATATTACATGATTTAAGAAGAAGTCTTCCTCTTGACTGATTCTCCTTTTAAAAAAATTATTTTCTCCTTCTTTGCTCACATCACTTAGTATGTCATAATAAAGATAGGTTTTAGCTTAATTTAATTAAAAATACCCAGTAAAATTTTACTTAATTAGATGGAGCTAGGGCAGCCTATCACAAAATAATATGCGAAGTAACTTAGGCTTATATATTACATAGAATGTTGATCACATGCCGATATTTATGCAGCTTTACATATATGTAAGATTGTTATTATAGTTTCTTGGGAAAATTAGTAAAACATGAATGAGGTTAAGTGTGTAAATGAACATTGATCTATTTGAAAATCTACCCAAAGATAACTTGTATTGTTCGTAATCTAAATTATATGCTACAAAACCTCATTCATGTTTCTGATCTAATTAAGGTTGGTGACCTGCTGGTGGTGGTCACTGGTGGTGCTTGGTTTTAGGTTTCTAGTTTAGAAGAGAAGGGATGGCGTAGAGAGTCTTGAACATTTTATCAATGGATAACCATTAATGGGTCTGGAAAGTGGTTGGTTTGCCCTCAGGGATTGGCAGGGACGGAATGGAAGAAAGGAAAAGGGATGTGGTGCAACGACAGTGGTAACCAGTTCGTGTTGCTGCTGCTATAAATTATTTGAGGTCTCTGTTTGGGGGAGCCTGAGGAGGAGAAGAGTTTACAAGTTATCTCTATCTCCTATTTTCTCTCCTGAGGATTCTTAACTAACTATTCACCACCCAAAGTAAAACACTATGTGTTTAGTATCGGGCCTAACCTTATGTTTCCTCTTAAACATGGCTTTGGACTCCTCAACCGGACTACATTTAAACAAAGCATCAGTCAGAAAATTGAATGGATTGATCTGTAGTTGCCTCTTCCGCTTTTCTTTTCTTATTAACAAAATAAATCATTTGTCATGGGACAGTAAACTTCACTCATGTTTTTATAGTTTTGCCTTTTTTCTTTTTTGTTGCGGCAGGAGAGTATGATCATATAAATGCAAGTTAAATTTGATTATATTCATTCTTAACAAACATCATTTTAATCTATGATGGCAATGTTGAAGGTTGACATGATCTAATATGGTGAGGGATGTTTTTCCAGGAGGTGGCCACAGCTGTTTTCAAGATAGTGATGAAGCGAGGATTAGAGCCAAAAGGAAGAAATTTTGGGAGAAGGCAGTTGATGTAGATGAACTATGTGGACCGGGTGAAACATGGTGGGGTGTTAGAGGAGAGATGCGCGATAACTTCAACCACAGTAATCAGGTTATCTCATTTTCCGAACATTTCCAGAACAGCCGATATGTTGAATCGGTTCTAGATGTGTATTGGGAGTTACCACCTGTAGCAGGACCTTCTCTCACACACCAATCACGGTATGATCCTGCTCGAGTGTCTAGTCCAATTGTTGAAGATGGCCGGTATGGTTTGTTCCAGCGACTCGGCTTAGGTAGGCTTGAGACTTCTGTATTCAATGGATACACCCAAATGGTTTATCTTCAAATTTCTGAACCAGAATCGTAGAACTTAGTTGAAATACATGAGAAGCAGTTTGATTTCAGGGAGAATGAACTGGGAGATGTGTCTATATTCTGTGGTTTTTTCTCATAGCTTTTCTTTATTGACCATTATTTGCATTCTTCGTTAAATTCTCTGCTCCTTTTTCGGAATTGTGAATTAGAATATGTGATGGTTGTCTCCATTTCCTTTGTTGTTACCTTTTTACGAGTTTAACAGTAGGAAGTTGCCAGCAAGAGTAGTCAATGTTATATAAAAAGGGTTAATTTGTTCTGACTTTTGTTGTATTTTTTATTTTATTCTCTAACTTCTATAACCCTAAAATTAAATTTTCAAATTCTTCATTTTTCTTAATTAACTTCTCTTATTTATTTATTTTTTTAACTCTTTACAGTGTTTTTGGGAGTTTACATTGTAATAGAGAACTGAAATTGCAGTGAAATAGAGAAAAGCTAAGAGTCCCGTGATTGTTTCATGTTCATCAAATAGAACAAAAAGGTCAAATGTTAAAGCACCCTTAACAAATTATTTGTTATATAATTTTTATCAATTACTCCTTAAAATATCATTAAATTATTAGTTCAGAAAATAATTTTACAAATTTTATTTATTACCTAACTTCCAAGCGAGGTTGCAATATCAAAATTACATTCCAAAATAGGGTATATTTTTTAGTTCCAATTTCATTGAGGTCGTAGAGAGTCATTATAGAAATTCTATTCACTAAACCCAGATGTACTTGCACATGTCAACAAATAAATCAAGAAAGACAAAATAACAAAAGAAAAAGGTATACATACCCGGAACTCGCTTAAAAGTGGGAAAAGGAAATGAGAAATTAATTTTTCTAATAAAAGAGGGAAAAGAAATGAAAAATTGATTTGTGTAATAAGTATGTAATTGATGTCTTTTTTAGAAACTGGTTAGATTTATGTGACCGAAAAATTGATTTTGATAGCTATTAACTTAGAAAAATTTTTATTAAAAACAAAAATTATAATTAATTCAAAACTATTAGAAACTCAAACAGTTTTATATAGTATTTTTTATGTAAATATGTCATATAAAGTTTTTGTACTATATCAAGCCAATTTATAAATCTAAAAAAATTAATCATGTCTTTTTTTAAATGAAAGAATTCATAATGTCGAGAGTCTCTCAACGAATTATTGGGAACGCAACTAATAAAATCTCTTTTTAAGTGTTTGACTTATCGTGCAGTAACTGAACTTTCAATCATCTAACACAGAATGACCAAGAAATTTTATACATGGAGATCATTCCCTTGGTTGATTAAGAAGGTAATGATTAAGTCGGTAGCTCAAGCCATAGCAAATTACTTTATGAGCATCTTTTTGTTCTCTAAGAACATTTGCCTATAACTAGAAAAGATATTTTCTAAACTTTGGTGGAAGCATAAGAATGGAGACAAAACATCAATTAGTTAACCTGAAAAAATACTGTTAATTAAAGGAAAATAAAAGTTTGAACTTTAGAGACATTAGAAATTTTAATATGGTTCTGCTTTTTAAAAAAGTATAGATGTTAATTAAAACTCAATATTCCTTTTGTTTAGCATCATAAAGTCAAATACTTCATGTATGTAGAGGTTAGAACTGCACAACCAGGTTTTAGAACAAATTTTACATGTCGAAGTATTCTTACATAAAGGAATATGCTGAAAGAAGGTTTAAGATGGAAAGTAGGGAATGATCAATAAATTAACATTTGGACAGACAAATAGTTTGGTTCTACATAAGATTGGTACATAGCTATTATGGTTTCTTACATGCAGAGTCAAATAATGGTGGCTAATCTCATTCTCTTTGTAAAAAAGTAACACGAGATCTTTCACTTATTAAAGGTGTGTTTGATTTTATTATTGGTTCTCACGTTTCTATTATCATTTTTAGTCGGAGGTGCCTCTAAATAAAATAATTTAGAAAAATACAAAATATAAAATAGTAAAATTAAGATACTATATAACATTGAGTATAACCATAGGGATCATTATCTGGTAGCACCAGCTTCAATTGGAAGAAAGTATGAAATGCAGTTGTCTTGGAGAGTTTGTAAAAGTATTTTACTTGTAAAAGCCAAGTTACCATAAAAAAAAAATTAAATTGGACATGATATGTGCAATGTGTGATGAGTATGAAGAGAATAAATTGGACATGATATGCATCTTCAATACGGAAGCTTAACCCACTTACAAATAATTTCACTTGCTTTTTCATTTGTAATTGTTTTAGTAATCTAGTTATATTTCATTATCAACTTCGTATATGATTAAGATGATTTTGTAAATGATACAGTGGAATTAAAATCAACAAATCCATTTTAACAAGTAGGTCGAATCATTTTCTCTAACTACAATCTTAACGAAGTATTTAAAAAAAGTGGAGAAGAGTGAGAGCTCTCAGGATGAGGATCACGATAATTTAGATGCAAGAAATTAAAAAAAAAAATTGTACCTAAACATGGATCCAACCACAAGAAGATATGTACGAACTTAATTATGATCCATCAATTGTTAAAGATGGATAGACAAGTTTGGGGATGGTACATCAGGATCGGGATGGTGAAGTGGTTTTTGCATATATGAGATACCCACTCTCTATTCTATTGATGTAGCTAAGGCGTTGGCAGTGAGATTGGAGGTTGAGACTGCAACTACAAGAAGAATCCAGAAGATAACTACCAAAAGATTTTCTCTTCACTAAATCAGCAAAACTTGTTAGTCGAAAATCCATTTTTCTTTTTAAATAGAAAAGTCCAATCCCAACTTAGATCTCCGACTGGCTTAAAAAGTTTAACTTATCAAGCTGAAAGCAATCCTGGCCTATGAAATCGCATGTGAAGCTACAGCACGACAATTAAGATTTCACCTGTGCCAAAATACACTTTGAATCTTCCCAAAGTAGTCATTGGAAATATCATAGGAGGGGCAATTAGTATTCTCAATTTCTTAAACGTTGTCAGTTTCACTTGTTACTTGTCTTGGGTTTATATTTTGGCAAAAAATGTCCTCTCATTAATCAAAACTCTCTTATATATATGTATATATATAATACACGAGTTCGCTGCAAATGAAGTCCGCTTAACTTGTTGCAAACCAAATTTGAAAAAAAAAAATAATGGAAATAATTGCAAACGGCGCTGAGGATATATCCAACAAGGTGAAAAATTACTGCATCATAAGGCGACAGACAATAAAGAATGGTCCCCAGGTTTCCAGGGGTAATACAACTTTCAAGGTAAGTACAGCATTTCTTGATCAATTTATCCGCCACATTCTGGCATTTCTTGTATGCATTTTTCCAAGTTTTCAGCGCCTTTCTTGTTTACCCTTATCTATAAGTCAATAGCTGTGAGTTTTTTTGGTCAACTAAGCCACCATGCCGCTGCATGGCAGTCACTGGCACGCTACATCTGGAACACTGGAATGTTGAAGCCGCTGCACACCTTGTCCTGAGACAGTAATAACAGTACCTGCCATTTACATTGTCACCATTTTAGAGAAAATCTGTTCAAACCTCCAGATTGGAAGTGCGTTTAAGCAATTGGAAACATTATGATCTATTTATAGGAGATGAACTAGTGAGAAAGCTTTGATCAGGGAATACTCCATGTTGTAGCTTTGATCAGGGAATACTCCATGTGGTAGCCACCTTACCTAAAAAATATCTCAGTTTCAAATTCCTATCCCTCACATTGATCCAGGGAAAAGAATACCAAATGTATTCAGTGTATTAACTTCTTTCGAAACAAGTATTCAGTGTATTAACACCATATAATTATCCCATACACCACCTTTTTTTAAAATGCAACGAACCCATAACCACCATCGATAACCAGTGATCTTTGGGTGATAGGTGTTACTTCATGTATCCCAAATGCAAGTCATTATGCATTTATGGATTATATTTTGAGCCAAACAAGCTTCACATAGCTCAAAAATCCAATCTGTAGTGTTGCTTGTACATACTCTTCAACGTAATAAACTTAACTTTTCATTTCAGAAAAAAAAAGCTTAAGATTTTTCACACCATGCAAATTAGGTATCGGATTATGATCTAGATTGTGGAGCTAACTTATTTAAAATAAAATTAGTCCTAGAAATTAAAGAATTCAGCTTGAACCTGTGTTGGCAAGGTAGAGCCATAAAGGGAATAGTTGGGCTCGCTTGACATATTGGACAAGAAGTTTCATCCTCTGTGGAGCTGGAAGATTTGTCCCTCGAGAATGGCCGCAGAAGATTTTTGAAGGTCGATGAGTTGAGAAGAGGAAGAAGCAATAACAACATTTCCTACAAACAAGTGAACAAAGTTAAGTACCAAAGCAGCTCCATCTATGATAATGGACAGCATAAGCTTTTGCCAATCTTTGTCACTGAATAGAAACTTGCATGTGTTGTCTAATTATTCCTGATGAAATGAATTTATTGAATAACGATTCATGACTTCACAAGATAAAACATCCTCAAATCCAAACACAATACCGCCAGGGTGAATAACTTTAAGCTGGCCCATTAACATTACCACAATTTACATTTCCAGTCTTATTTATTGTCTTCATAAAGATCTATATAAAAGCAATAGCCTAGAAAAATAATAGGATGGTTCAGACTACAGAATCAAAACAATAATGAAAACTTGAACTTGACTCTATGCGGATTGAATAAATTTAGCCAGTCTTTTCTAGTCCAAGATATTTTAGGAACCTATTGTTTCCTTCCAGTGCATGCAAATTAAGTTGTGGTTCCTCTGTGATGACAAAGATTGAGCAATGATTATTATTATTTTTTTTAAAATCAGTTTTTATTAGGTGTAGTTTAAGTTCTAGGCATTGCCTCACCAGGATTTCTTATTGTCATAGTAAAGTACTGTAAAAAATTGGAGGATTATTCCATCTTCTTCTATCCAACGGCTGCAGCAGTTGAATCCAAAAGTTTAGTTTTGGCAAACTCTTCAGAACCCTTGGGAAGCTTTAGGGAATCCACCTATTGCTCTTTGAGTAGACATGAGTAATCAATTGCTCTACAATCTGAGGCAGTCCACCTCTAAGTTTTATTTGGTGAAATCTATTTTATTCTCAAACTATTCTTATATTTAATATGCAGAACTTACTTATTGATTTACATATTTAATACATGATTAATCAAATTTCACTCATATCTTCAGTTTCACAAAATGAATTTGTATTATCACTTGCCAAATCAAACACACATAATTTGAATTAGATAAAGAATAGCTTTAAAGTCCCAGAGAGGATCTGGTCACAGAGCCATCTAATGTGAAGGCCCAAAGCAGGAAAGCTCCTCGCTCCCCAGTTTTCTGGCCTTACTGGCCTATGGTGATGATCTTATTCATGATACTCCTAGTTTTATTCTAATTACTAGATTCATATTTCTACTTTTATTCTAATTTTTTAATCTAAATCTAAAAACTTTAACAAAAATACTTAAAGACTTCCAACTTTTATTATTCCTTAAAGAAACTAACTTCCTAACCAACTCCTTCCTTTTGCTGCTTCTATGAATCGCACACTGATAAATTTTTCAGTAAACTTATCTTGAAGAACTGGCTATAAGCCCTCCCTTTTCTGCAATGTAGTAAAACGACTTGGAATTATAATGTCATTTTCATTTAAATTTTTGTCTCATTTGTTTTGTTTCTTCATCCAATTTAATAGAAATGAAATTTGAACCAAATGCACATGGCTAAGTTTGAAGAGAAAGTGCATATATGTGAAATGAGCAAAGAGCTTAGTACGAATTTAGTTAGGTCCATTCATGGATTGTGCCCTGAAATCAAGAAAGGAGTAAAATTCTAGTCCCTTTCAATATTAAAATTCTAGTCCCTTTCAATATTGAGACAGCATTCCATTAAGTTCTAGAGATAGAGAAGTACCTTAAGCCCCCAACTTCGAATAACTCTATTCCTCAAGGATCATCATTTGGCTGTCATTGTTTATCCTCCTAAAGTCTAGTGCTTCACCAAAATTATGAAGCCCAGTGCTTCAGTTCCCATGATCCTACACCTACATTTGAGAACGTATCTTTTTGAAAAAAGAGAGATGATGTGGTTCCAAATGACTCAAATTTAGTTCCAATAATGCAATCCCGCAAGTCCCGTCCCAAACAGGCAAGCAATTCTAAAACTCTTTGTTTTCCTAAACGGGATTGTCTCAAACGGGAAAGTGAGCCCAAGTTTTCTAAAAACTGGAACAATCCAAAGAGGAAAGTAACTACATCCCTAACTACTTTTCTAAATAGGATTATTCTAAAGAATGGTCCAAGTTTGTTCAAAGAAAGCTTAATGCCCAAATGATGCTTTTGGGCTTGGAGAATCACAAGGCAAGAATAAAGGCCAACTTTTGGCTCAACCCGAGAAGGCCTCAAGGCCTCACGGCCCAAGGTTGCCGCACCAAAGAGAAGCAGGCTGGATCATGCTGCACCTATGGGTAGCCCACGTGTGGAAGAGGCGTGCATGCACGGGAGCTGTGCGTGCGCATGAGCCGCACGCTTGGGCAGAAGCTTCCACCTGCATGGGTGAAGCATGCAGGCAGCCAGCCATGTCCAAGAAAGACTCCTTTTCTCCATGTGTTTTAATCCAAAATCGCATGGGATAATTCCAGCCTTATTTTATTAATTTTTCTATTAGTATTTTATTGTTAATTTTATCCCTAAGAATATTTAATTAAATACTTTTTGTTTAGGGATTAGGATAAGGCTATTTTTTTATTAGAGTTTAATTAGAATTATTTAGGTGAATGCCTATATAAAGGCCTCACCATTAGGCTGTAAAAAACACTTTTGAGAATTCAGAATAAAATTTCAGCTTTCGCTGTTGAATTATCTTTTGCTAATTTGTGAGTATTCTTCAAGCGTTTTCAAGCTAGGGGTAGACCACCTTGATGAGGCAGGGAATCAGGATCGACTTATCAGATAAGTTGTGACGTCTTTGCTCATTCTTTTTATTTCTCAGTTACCTTGACAACCTTGCAATGCATTTACTGTGATTCAAATAGGGAGGATTGGATTTCAATAGTTAAGTTGCTGAATTCTGAATATACTGGGCTCATGATTGAGGTGTTGTTGATTCGTGGAGTCATCATCCTCCACCCCACGTCATCCACTATCATAAGGACACAAATGATCTATTCAATTATAGCTTTATATCATTGACCTTAATGATGAATTAGAGAATGAGAATCATTATTATAATGCTAATAGATGTCTCTTTACTAACCCAAAAAAAATGACAAGTGAAAGCAAATTGCATTTTTTCATAAATTTATAAATTTAGCAAAGAGGATCAAATTGGACATAGATAAATGGCAGGGTAAGGAATGTAGTCTATAAGGTAGCAGCTATTGAGTCGAAACATAATATGAAGTATCTTGGGTTGGATAAAACCACTTTGTCAATCAACTCATATTCACATGTGAGAATACAAGGATGAGATGATAGTCATATCCTATCTGTGGAGATTATTCATGTTAGTCCCTTCGAGGACATAAGATACTCTTAGGACAGTATTCATATTTATCATAGAATACTCCTAGCTATTTGATCTTGATGCGACACAACATTGTAAGGAGAATACATACATGTTCGAGCACAATGGTAAGATGACACTTCTTAAGTCCACAAAAAAAAAAAATTTAGCCTAGGCCCAAAGAAAGAAATTCTATATGACATAAGGTTAACACCACTAAAGAGAAAATATCATTTGGTAAAGTGGGAAGATGTGAAACGGCCGTTAAATGCCGGTGGTCTTGGTCTGAGATCACTTAAGGAGCTGAACAGATCCCTCCTGGGAAAATGAATATGGAGATTTTGGACTGATGAAGACAGCTTATGGAAGAATGTTATTGAGGCAAAATGGGGCAAGGGTACCAGTGATGGAATCGTAGACAGCTTCTGCATTCACAGAAAACATGGTACGGGTTTCTGGAAAAGTATTTTGCTTCAACAAAGAGATGTCCTTACTTGCATTAAATGGCAGATTGGTTGTCGTAACAGAATTAGTTTCTGGAACGATCTCGTCCAAAACAAGCATATTTCTGTTATGGATGCACACAGAGATGGATTCTCGTCTGTAATTGTTTCCAGGCACCTTCATGATTGGGAAATTGGGGAATATATTGATTTGTTACACCTTATTGATACTGTCAAGCTCAACAGCAACCCCGACAAGCTCACTTGGAAGTTAAAGAAAAATGGTTCTTTCTCCGTTAAATCCTTCTACAGTCACCTGGTGAGTGATGGCAGGTTGAACCAAGATATTTTCCCTACTAAAATTGTGTGGAAATCTAAAGCTCCGATTTGTATCTCTTTTTTTGCTTGGGAAGCGGCTAAAGAATGAATTCTGACTGTAGAAAATCTGATGAAATAAGGAATAACCCTGGTGAACAGATGTTTTCTTTGCAAGTGTAACGCTGAATCCTGTAACCACCTCCTGATTGAATGTCCTTTCACCTACGGTCTTTGGTTCTCATTTATAGCCTTCTTGGCATCAGCTGGGTTATGGCTGGAACGGTTAGATCTGAATTATTAGCTTGGGAGGAGCTGAGAAATGATCATGGTGTTTTGCGTCTCATCCCCTTATCCATTATGTGGATTATTTAGAAAGAAGAAACAATAGGGCATTTGTGGGTAAAGAAGAACCACTTGTCAAAATTAAAGATGGCTTCACTTTTTTGGTTCTATGGTTTTGGGACATGATTTTTATAGTCCTGAAGATTTTGCGGTCTTTTTAGATATACTTACTGACCACTTATAAATTTTTTGTACATGGACAGCACCCCTTTGGTGCCTTCATTTATCTAATTCTCACATTTTTTATCTAAAAAAATAATAATAAAAATTGGAAAGAATTAGTAAAATAAGAAACTTTTCTATTTTTCTTTATTGTAAGACTTTTCAAAACATCTATTTCTACTAGAAAAAGAAATCACATCTTTTACTCCTTTTAGTGTAAAACTTCCAAAAAATGTTCATCTTCCTTTATTGATTCTGCATCATATTCTTATTACTGAATTATGTCACCTTAGATCTTTTATTCCGTATCACTTCCTCTCTTTTCTTTTTTTTTTTTTGTTCTGAAGAGGTCACATAATCCTTGTTTTGTATATTTCCTTAACAATATTTTTTCTTTTCCTATCCGAAAAAAAAAAACTCAAGCTTTTTGGACTTTCTAATGCTAATAGTATTTCCACGAGAATGATGAACAACATCTTGGAACAACTATTTGAAATTCATGTAATTTATTTTGATGACATCTTGATTTATAGAAAATCTAAAGTTACTATCTGGATCCTCTTAGACAAGTCTTGCAACACTTACAATTTAGAAAATGTAGAGAAACTAAGCTTTATGCTCAATTTAGAAAAGCTAAGCTTTATGCTAAATTTAGGAAATGTTATTTTTACAAACTAAAGTGCTCTTCCTAGGATTCTTAATCTCTGCTGAGTACATTGCAGCTGACCCTGAAAAATTAGAGCCATTAAATAGTAGCCTAAACCAAGAAATATAATCGATGTTGGCAACTTTCAGGGTCTATCTACTTTCTACTGGAGATAAATAAAAGTTTGAGTTATATTAGAATATGCTTACTATCTGCCTGGAATTAGAAGGATTGCAAGTGTAACCTTTCAGCTGCTAAGGTACTTTTGGCAAGAACAAGATGTCTAAGATCTGGGTGTCAAGCATGTGAGTTTTGGGTAGCTTAATTAACCTAGTAGTTTGGGTAGCCTATGCAGAATTATCAGCATATGCAAGTTTATCCTAAGATGAGAAAACATGAAATACATTCATGAAATCAAAATCACGGGGAAGGGAACTTTCCTGACAGAAGAGAAAAAAATTTACCGAAAATTCATTCCAGACTAGCTGGCGATTCATGTACTCAAAGCTGACAGCTCGGTTCATATTAGGGCTCTCATAGACGAGCCTTGCTCTCAAAGCCCTTTCAATGAGGTTCCGGTACCTGCATGAAACCAAGATGATTCAACTTCAGGATTAGGAGGATCGTCTTAATGCAAAAACAGCTCAGAATAAAGGGCATCAAGAGCATTTCATCTCTTTTTATTTTCTTTTTTGGTATGAAGCATCAAAATTTCAGAATTCAAGAAAAGGTACCATGGCTGTGTTGCATTATTAACAAGAATTACATATCCAAAATCCAAAGGAGGACAAAGCATGTAGCAACATATAATATCAAAACCTAAAAGTTAGAAAGCCACAGCTCTGCTTTATGTATTAGGAAGAATGGACTTTAGTCTCATCCATGTCAGCCAAAACCTATGTTCATTGATTTGGTCACTACTTTCAGTTTCCCTACTATTGTGTTATTGAAGCAATAGCACAGCTACTAGAAAATCAAGAATTGTTGACTTATTTAAAATTTACAAAGACCTTCTAGCGTTATGATATTCTAAATGGCACTAAAAAATACTTAGTCTTATTTCGGACATGTGCATGTCTTCTTTTTCTTTCATTAAAAAAAAAGAAATATTAGTAAAGGAGAAAGATGTTGCAAATAAAATGAGAGGATAATAAATCAACCAGGAAAAAAACGAAAAAAAAACAAAACAAAACAAAAGACCCAACAATAGAATAGACATCCAATTTCTATGCAACAAAGATAAACACATCCCTACCAGAGCGAAGCAAAAGAACACTTTATCCCGAACCACATGAGACGGTTGAAATTGATGCTTAATTCCTATTATTAGCTCCAGCTAAATGATCCATAAACTGGCCAAGACAGCCCTTTTCCGCAAGATCTTATGCTCCTTAGTCTTCCAATGCCATGCAGATAAGATGGGTTAAAAACATTCAAGTTAGAGTAGCAGACCGAAACTTCTCCAAACATTTGGAGAGAAAAAACCTAGATTATAACGCCAAAGGCAGCCATGAAACAGGTAGCTGTTAGTCAGGTGTGGAAACACCTCAACAGATGTCAACCAAGAGAACCTTAACAGGTCCAAATTTTAAGAATGTTGCTCTCTTTTATAGAAAAAGAATCACTATTAGAAAGAGAAGGACATCAACAGACAACTAGATATCCTCACAAAAGAAAATGAGAGGAGAACCAGAAAATTTCAATAAAGAGTTGCTAGTCAATCTCTAAGTCAGATAGACAGACAAAGAATAATTTTTCAAAATATTCTAACACACCAACAAAGACAACGTACTCCAAAGAATCAAAAAGTCAGAAAATTAATCTATAAAATCCTCATATTTCTCTCCAATCAAATCATCTATAACCCAGTGAAAAGGGGTCTTATGGCATAAACCTCCTTCCACCTGTCCTGGTGGGTAGTAGAAATGAACACCTCAATAGGAGAAGGGGATACCAAGAGAACTCCAAGTATCAAAGAAACTTGCCTAAAGATATTGGAGGAATAAATGGAGGAGATTATGGAAGAAGATCACTATAACATAGGCAAAATATTTGGTGTATATTTTCTTGCATATTTTCCTACCTTGATCAAGTCTCCTTTATTATTTGATTTATTCTCTGATCATGTCTGTCTTGATTATGCCTTGATCATAGGGACAGTACTTGTATATATAACATCATTGTAATCAATTATCGCAGCCTAGTTCAGCAAATTTCATGGTATTAGAGTAGGTTTATAAACAGCAAATCTGAAGTATGACCACCGAAATTATACCTTCTAACAAAGCTGTTGAAGGTTCTCCTTGTTACCTACACCCATCTGACCATCCAGGCTTGATTTTTGTCACACACTCTCTTATGGAAAATGGAGACAACTATTTCACTTGAAGGCACAATTTTATGAATGCACTTCAATTCAAAAACAAAGCTGGTTTTGTGAATGGAGTGATTAAAAGACCTGATGCCAGCTTGCCAGATTTTCAACCTTGAATGCAATACAATGCGGTTGTTCTGTCCTGGTTAACAAACACACTTGCTAAAGAGCTTCAAGGTTGTGCGGCTCATGTCGAGACAGCAAGAGAGGCATGGGAAGATTTGGAACAGAGATTTGCTCAAAGCATAACACCTAGAGTATATGAGTTGAAACGAGCAATAGCGCTCTTACAGCAGGAGAAGTCCTCGATTTCAGCATATTATGGAAAATTAAAATCTACTAGGGATAAATTGCAAAGTCTCAATCCAATTCCATTTTTTTTAAATAAAAAAATAAAAATATATAAACAAAGCACCAAGGGGGTGCAATCCATATACAAAAAGTGTTACCTCAATCTAATTCCATTATGCACTTGCGGATGTAAATGTGGTGCGGCAAAGCAGATCCAGTCCATACGTGAAGAAGAAAAGGTATTTGATTTTCTAACGGGGTTTTATAATGTTTACTCAATTGTCAGGTCACAGATATTGAATGTAGATCCATTGGCAAACCTTGTGAGAGTCTATGCCATTGCAGCACAAGAAGAGAAGCAGCAATCAGTTGCAGCGATTCTAACTCCCACCAGTGAAGGAGCAGCACTACTTGCAAGAAAGAATGAATTAAAACAAAAGAAGAGTGACCATGGAAGCAGAAATCAATTTCTACTTTGTGTTCATTGTGGGGAAACTAATCACAGCAAGGAATATTGTTTCAAGGTGATCAATTACCCCATCAGATTGGCGTAGATCGGGAAATAAGAGTGGCAAGCAAGTTGAGACAGATCAGTCTTGTGCACATGGAAATCTTCCAACACAGCTTTCGTTGCATCAGAAGACAACACAAAATTTCCAATTCCAGGTCTGACTTTTGCCCAACATCAGCAGTTGTTAGCTGTTTTAAAGGGTCTGGAAAGAACAGAAGGTAATCCATCTGCGAATATGGCAACCTCCAATTTTTTTCGATAAGGAGAATGACTAGTGGGCAGTGGATACAGGGGCCACAAATCGCATGACTTGTGATATTGAATCTTTGTCCAAAACTTTTCTTCAACCCGATATGCCATCAGTGCAAATTCCTAATGGTGCAACAGTTAAAGTTCATGCAACGGGTCAAATAGATGTTGGAAATAAATTAATACTTGAACAAGTTCTGGGAGTTGCCAATTTTTGTTTCAATTTACTATTTGTTTGTAGACTGACAAAAGATTTAAATTGTTTGAAATCTTTCTGCCGGAGTTTTTTTTGTGATTCAAGACTAAGCCTCGAGGAAGCTTATTGGATTCGTAGAGAGCGAAATGGTCTCTATTATTTGGAGCTGATGAGAGGGGAGAAGGCCTTCATTGCTGCTGATACAATTGAAGCAGACTTGTGGCATCGTCGGGTTATGGCATTTGCTAATAAATCGCATTCACCTGGTTCCAGATTTATCTGTCTTTTTTAATTTCAAGAACTTATTTTGTAATGCTTGCTGTAGAGCAAAAACAGATTGGATTATCTTTTCTTGTTAGTATGAATAAGACCATGAATATTTTTGATTTAGTACATTGTAATATTTGGGGCCCATATAAAACAAAATCTTATTCTGGATGTCATTACTTCTTGACTTTGGTAGATGATTTCAATCGAACAACATGGTTATTTCTTATGAAGAATAAATTAGAAACCAAAGCATACTTGGTACAGTTCTTTAATTGAGTTTATACTTAATTTAATTTGAGAGTTAAGATTTTGTGTACATATAACGGACTTGAGTTCACACATGATGACTAAGGAGTTATTATTTTGATCATAGAATGGAGCATCAAACTAGTTGCACATACACACCCCAACAAAATAGAGTCACCGAGCGCAAGCATAGACACCTTTTGGAGGTGGCACGTGCTTTGTGTTTTCAAGCAAGTCTTCCAATCTCATTCTTGGGTAAGTGTGTCCTAACTGTAGCATATTTAATCAACCGTATGCCACTTTCTGTTTTAAAAGATAAAACTCCTTATGAAATATTGCTGAAGAGGAGACGAACTGCCTATGATCATTTAAGGAGCTTTGAATGTCTTTGTTATAGACATATGAATGACAAGCCACAAGACAAGTTTGCATCACGAACTAAGCCAGGTGTCTTTGTTGAGTATGTAAATGGACAAAAAGGATACAAAATTTATGATCTTAAAAGTAAAAAAATTTATGTTTCTTGACATATACAATTCTTTGAAAAAATATTCTCATTTGCAGGATTAAATCAATTTGATATTTCTGATGGTAAATTAAATGACACCAGATCTACAATAGAGAATTTTGGGTTCTCAAAATCAGGTGGGAGTCCATCTTATGATGATTGTTCTGTTGCATCTACTTCAACATCAATGGATACTTCTCAACAATTAGAACCAATTATTTCTACCTTGTTTCAACCACAACTTCAAGACATCGCTGAGATTGAAAGGGTTGAAGAAAAATCATTATCTCCACAAAATCAATCACATGATGAGATTCATAATGTTAATTCAAAAATTGCTCCAAGAGAAGACAAACAGCAACGACAAGTCTCACGTCGTTTATTTGGCTAGAGTACACTTTGCCTCCCTTCCTCGCTCCCACAAATTTTGCATCAGCAAACTCGATGATATGTCCTCTTTCACAATGTCTTTCTTATTCAATTTTTTTTTTATTAATCACACTGGTTTTCTAGCGGCCATCACATCTAATGATGAGCCAAAGTCATTTTCTTAAGCAGTCAAATTTCAGCATTGGAGAGATGAAATGGCTAAGGAAATTTCTACATTAGAAGCAAATAATACTTGGACTTTAGAATCTTTACCTCCTGGAAAGAAGACTATTGATTCCAAATGAATTCACAAAGTCAAGTATAAACCAGATGCAAGCATCAAACATTAGCTTGTCTTGTTGCTAAAGGCTACACTCAAATTAAAGGAATCAACTTCCATGAGACTTTTGAACCCGTTGCCAAACCGGTCATAGTTTGGTGCTTATTGGCACTTGCATCATTGAATAATTGGGAACTACATCAATTAGATGTGAATAACGCCTTCTTACATGAAGATTTGGCCGAAGACGTGTACATGAAAATTCAACAGTGATTTGCTAAACAGGGG